AGAGAAAACGTGGTATCTGGCAATACTAGCTAGAGCATCAGATTTGGATTGGAAATTGTGTATGAATTTGGGCTATGTTGGAAAGTTTGGAAATTTTGGAATCATTGGAAACTTGATATTATGTAACAATAGAAACTTCACCATCCTTGCACTTAAAGCGGATGGTGGGGGAATGGATGATAGACCCGATCAAGATTCCATGGTTCCGTCGTCCCGGGCCATCGTGGTCCCTGGTTTACTAGTCAGAGGAGGTAGTTGACCCAACCTGACAGAAGGATCCTTGTCGGCAGCCATGGGTTGCTTCGTCCAAGGAGACCTTGTAGACTTGGGATGAATATTTGTCTAAGGGACAAATTTGAATCCACCTTAGCTTATAGAGGGCTTTGTGTCATGTCAATTATATCCTATTGATTCATATCTCAAGGATTTGATGCCATTAAGGAGTGTATTAGCGCTGGCCATAACCGATATTTCGTGATGCCATTTGGCGGCAAAACCACTTAGTTCAGAGGGCCCCGGGTCGTCATAACCGTTAACCTGCAGTGCCATTTGGCGGCAAAACTGCCGGTTAGAGGACACTTACCATGTCCTTACTGACAGGAGATTGTTTGAGAATGGATCCTAGTGATATTTTTGACCAGGCATTAGCTCTTTGCGAGCTGAAGTATTTTTCAATTTGTCCACCCCGCCAAATTGTTGCGGAGGGTGGATGAGTTTTGCTTTAAGTGTTGATGGATAGATTTCAGATTTTAAATATTTTTGGAATTTTGGGATTTCTGAAATTTTGGATTTTGTGGATTTTCGTGGCATTTTGAGTAAAGCTTTGAAGATATTTGAAAGCATTTGAATCACCCCTTCGGTTGAGATTTGCATTCAACACGGCCATCATTGGGGTGTTAGGGGTTATTTCCATTTAATGCTTGAACCTTGTCGACTCTATCTGGCTGTCGACAGAGGATCGGGTTTCGTAGGCTTTATGCCTTTGAGAGTGAATTCTCTTTGTTATAGGCCTTGAAGGCCTAATATAAATGTATTAAGACAAATTTGACGGCCGCTACAACCGTATATTTGTTTGTTGGTTCGAACCCTGTCGACTTCTATTGACCCGTATAGAAGGATAGGTTTCGAACTTGAATTCACTTGTCAACCTGCGCAGCATCCCTAGACGTCACGTGTGTACCAATAACACGCTCGCCGGAGCCAATGCGGGTTTGGGGGCATTTTATAATTAAATCCTGTCGACTCCTTTTTACATGCTAGACGTCACGTGTGTACTAATAACACGCTCGCTGGGGCCCATGCGGGTTTCATGATTGCTTTTACCCCTTTTAGTGTACCTATGTGTATACAAACTACAGTGCACGTGTAGGGGTATTTTGAAATAATTGTAGACGCCTTCTGTCTGCTTGTACGGAGGTTGCAAATCCGGTGGCGTATTGTAGCAGCTTCTGGATCAGTGGTTTGCTGCTTCTACAGGTAGACTATCGTGCACTACTCCTCGCTTTCTGCAGGTGGATCGTAGTGCACTAACGAGCTCCTGCTTTCGTTGTAGAAGCTCGTAGGAGCTTGTATTATTTATCCATTCTGCTGTGATTTTGGTCTTTACAATACGTCCATTACTGTCCGAGATAGATGTATTCATCTTTAGACTGAAGTTGACTACAGGATACTGCATTTACTGTAGTCTTTATGTATCTACACAGGGGTGGCACGTTGTACATACATCTATGTCAGTAGAGAGAGATTGTATGCACTGCAGATCTTTTATATTTTGCTTGTGAACACTGTATTTGTTACACAATGAGTCTTTTACGGTAGCTTGTAGATACTTGATTGTACACTGTAGTTCTTTCATGCTTATTCTCAAACTACATCTTATATAGCGAGCCTGTGTAGTGACATATAGGCATATGCATTTATCACTACACTTTCATATTTGTGTATGGATCATCTTAGCATTACAAATATTTCAGCTTCCTTGGGAATAGATTGTAGTTTGCATGATGAACTTGCACCTTTGATGATCTTTTGCAATTGATTGCATATGCCTTATAATTTTTGTCACTTGGAAAATTTATTTTGATTGTCTTGTGAGTGAATTATGCTTGTAAGAGTTCGGCATATCATCACATTCTCTACAACCATTGTTGATTGATTGTAGATGGTCATGTGAAATGTTACAAGTCTTCTACCATCTTTTGAGGATGACTTGTGATTTGTATAGATCTTCCTTTAACTTTGTCAATTGATACATGAAAGAAAGTTGTATTAATTCAAAGTTTTGAATAGAATTTATACTCCTTTAGTTTGATTTATTTATCATTCGAAGTCCGGGTCTGTGTAGCCAAATTGCAATCTCAAGTTCATTGGATGCTTAAATCAAGTTCCCTGCTGTTTTGTAGAGTCCATGCTTGAGTTTAATATAAGTTCAATCAAGTTTACTTGGGTCCATGTCTTGTTCAAGTTTGATGTCCACAAGTTTTGAATTCAATGTCAAAATTCACCTTGGAAGTTCAAGTCCCAAATGCTTGCAAAATCAAGTTCATTTGTTGATTTTGATTTTTGGCCGCATTTTGATTTTATTTCACTTGGTTTTGTAATTCATTAATCTTTTGAATTTTAGTCCAGATTCAAGTCCACAGTTCACGTTCTTTTGAGCTCAAACAGGTCCGAGTATAGTATGTTTTCACCCGAAATTTCAGCAGCCTCCCGGCGTCTCCCCCATTTAGGGGAAAACTATGGAAAACTGGGCCTCCTGCCACGCTAGAGAAAAGCGTGTACGGTAGGTGCCCTCTTTCGAGGACACCGCGGCCGTATAAAGTTTTTGTCCCCACCACACCAGAGAAAGGAGTGTATGGGTCTTCGGTACCTGTTGCAAAATAAAAACAGTTGTTTCCCCGCGAGCGGGTACTTATGAATATCCCAATCTCGTCGTATGTGTCGCACCAGGTTCCCATCCTAGAGAAAAGCGTGTATAGGCGGTTTGCCGGCTCGACACGCACGTCGAGAACAGGATTTTAGGTGATCACTCGCTTCGTTGAAAACACCGCGACGAACTTCCTCCTACCACGCTAGAGAAAAGCGTGTATAGGTGTTCGTTTGGTCGTGTTGCAAGCATCGAAAGCGGGATCTCGGAGTTTTAGAGTTTAGAAAGGTTATACTTACGCGGGGTCGTCGGTGCGGATCGAGGGAGAAAGAGAGCACTTGTATGTGCTTTATCAATTATAATTAATTATAAGTTATTATAATTAATTATAAATAATTAATTTTGATTAATCTTAATTTTAAAAAAATATATAATAATTAGTCATAATTAATTAATATTAACTTCAATTAAAGTTAATCATAATTAATTAAAATTAATTATAATTAATTACTTAAAATTACTACTGGATTCGGCCGAAGATCGCACGTGAAAGGGAGATAGTTACCTTCAAGCTTCAAGCCAGCGAGCTCCTGTTCTTGTCTCCGCTCGAAATGTCGTAACTTCCGATCCGAACAGGAAGGAGGGAGGCGGAGTCGGCTGGAGCAAGGAAGGATTGACTGTTGGGTGAGTTCGGACAGAGGAGCGGGTTCGGCCGGAGCTCAGGGAGATTCCGTCGGGGTTGATTCGCAGAGAAACGAGGAAGGAGAAGGCCTCTCTTCCTCTCTCTCTCTCTCTCTCTCTCTCTCTCTCTCTCTCTCTCTCTCTCGGCTTCTCTGGACTGAAGGAATCGGGAGATGGAGGCGTCGGGTTGGAGCGGGAGAGGAAGCAGAGGTTTCGTGTGGAGGTTTGTGGGAGAAGAGCAGAGAGCCGAAGCTCTCATTTGGGTTGCTATTTATCGACTCTTGGCGAGGTGCGATCGAGACAGTTTCACGGGATTTACGGGATCTGATCGCAAACGACGCCGAACAAGTACAAAACTGCGGGATTTCTGTATGAGTTCGGCGGGATTTCAGTGGAAAATCGGGATGGGCAGCCGGCTTCACAGGTATGATGTGGATTTTCTCTATTTTTTTTATTCTGTCTTTGAGTTCAACATATTTCCACCCTGGTTGCTCAGCATAATACATCTTGTATGACAAAATTTGTGTTATCGGACTCAAACATTAAAGCTAATCCCCTATGCATCTGCCTCCTAACGTGGTGAAATCTTTATGAATATTTAATAATGAACTAGGAGAGGAGCTTACCAAACCATCATGATTTTCTTCCAGACTGTATATCTCTGTAGTTCTGGTTATGGAGGGTAATATTAAAGCCCACTTAATGCAGCACATTTACTAATTCATCTGCAAAACAGAAGACCATTAGTTTTCCACAACTCATGGGTATAGTAGGATAATAGACCTACAATTATTTGATTATTCGTTGGTACACATGTACAACATTTTGGAAGAAGTTGGGAACTGCTTAGTGAAATTATTTTATATTTCCATCAAATTACAAATATTAGTAAAAGTGGGTGGGGTTTATATTTGTATGACTTGTACACCACAATGGTATTCCCATAAAAGCCCTACATGGGTCTTGGTTGGGTACCCACACCCACCCAGTGTCTTTTGGGATGCCGTACCCATCCGTACCCATCCATACCCACCCATTTTTCGCGCTTTTTGAATGCAGTCCGACACGGATTGATGGCCTGGAGGCTTGTTACCCTTTTGCTTTGACTGCAAACTTTCAAGCTGCATATCAAAATTTATCGTGGTTGTAGCGCAGTTCAAGGTTGCACACTGTGTAGTGAGGATTGTGGTAATATACGGTATTAAGTGATTAGCAATGTAAATTGTTGTATCTCCCGATGGTGAGCACCCACCCATACCCACTTATGAGGCCATCCCGTACCTACCTATGGATATGGGTGGGTGTGGGTATGGGTATCCAATGCAGGACGCTGATTCCCGTATATTGAGCAATATTTTGTTTTGTTTTGAGTTATCAAAATCATTTTTTTGTGATTAATTTTTCAATTTGATAATGAAATGCACTGTTGTTTGGCTAACACTGCCTCTTACAGAATATTCAGGTATAATAATTGAACGGCCAAGAGGACATATGTCAAGAAGCTTGACATTGGAAGAAGCAACGGACACCATACTGTTCTGCAGTTCTATTATTCATGACCTGGCCTACCAAGCTGCCACAATTGGGATAGAAAAGGAATTGAACTTGCTACTTGAGGCTCAGGCTTCTGATCCTTACTTGACAAACCCAGCAAAGCCCATCACTGGACTAAGAGAACCTTGGAAAGTAACTTATAACCAAACGCGAAGATCTCATAAGTTCAAACGAAAGAGAATGGAATCTCAGACCAAGTATCCTCATAAAGAAGCTGAGAATGATGTGAATGCTCATGAACTCTCTACTTCAAGTATTGAAACGCCTGGTAAGGCTGACACTGGTAGGCCTCCTAAATTAGAATCCAAGTGCAATTGCACTGTGATGTAGAAGTATTTCGGAGAAATCTTCATGATATATATATACTCCAGCGATTGGAACAGTGTTGTCCTTGTTCGTTTCTTTGATTTTGAAACATGGTCAGCACATGCGCCAGCATTCCCAATTTGTTTTGTAAGAAAGCTACTCCCAATCTTTGTAGTAGTGCTTGTAAAATTAGAAAGGAGAAACCAAGAAGCTATATGATGTGGCTCCTGCTTTGGTTTCTCCCCCCACCATTTTTTTTTGTTGATGGTTTCCTCTTGCTGCTTTGTAGTAAGTTGTGCTACTTGGCTTCAGTGGAGGAAAAAAAAAAAAAGGCCGCGACTTGAGCCCTTATTTTGTAAATGACCTTTATTATTTGTTCCGAGCCTATGCTAAAATTATTATTTGAATGATCTTGGTGATTAAGGTCCCTTTTGATAACTGGCATTTATTTACATAAAGTGGTTTTCTTTCATCTTTTGTCTTCTAAAAGGTGTAAAATATTCTTGTGTTAGTGAGACTAGTATAAGTTATTTCTATGGAAAAGTAGTGATATTAATTATATGGACAAAAGATGCACATACTAATAATCTACTGCTATTGTTTTGCCTATTCAATAATGGACTCTTTCTTTTAATCTTTTATTGAGTTGATTGATTCTTATTCATTACATAGCTGTTCATTCTACAAGTTCATCTGTAATTATAAAGAATGGAAGTGTTTCATAGCTTGTTTGTTCTTTCGTTAATATGGGTCATAAATATTTTTCTACATTGTCTTCATTATTGGCTTCAAGCGATTGTATATCATGTATTTGGTAATGAAGTTTAAAGTGCGTTTAATGATTTTGATAAGTGAATGTTTGTAAAATTATGTCACGATGATCTTTAACGTTTTTATATGTGCATTGATACGTGATTTGACGATCAAATGTTGAATTGTATCAGTCCAGAGGATGAAAAATGATCATAAATTTTCTTAATATGAGAATTAATGGATGGTAGAGAAAATAAATCTATTGGAGGTTCTTTTTAGTGACATTGAGATATAAGTCTCTTATTGTTAACCTTTTTTTTTGTACAAGATTAACAAAGCATTGGTTCTCACAAACAGAACTTCTGCTCCTTGCTAAATTGACATTGGCCTAGTTCTAACATTAGGACTATTTTCCTTGATAAGTAGTCATAAATTCAATTATGCTGTAATAGGTCTCCAAATTTTATTTTCTTAAACCGTTTGAAGTTGCTTAGTGAATCTACTTAATGGTCTACACGAGCTTAGGTTCATATTCTAATGGATCAAAATCCATTAGGAAGAAATTCTTCTAAAGTTGGTTAGACCTCAATATTGTTCAGGGTGAATTTAAATTTATTCTAAGAACCCATCCCTTAGGTTTAAGTTCTAGTCAACTTAAACCAGGGCAATCATTTAAATAGGCTCAGTTTAGAGCTCCAGGTCTTTTGTTATCTTAAGACAATACCTCTAATAGTCTAGACATCTAAGTCTTAGTGTCCTATTAGCATTGGTGTTGCAAATTCGGACATAGATGTTGTGATTTTGATGATAATAAATATTATTGGGTTATCTCTATGTCATCTCCTACTATTTTTATTATTGGATATTTTTTCTTGTGCAGTAGCATATCAGGCCCGACATACACAGCACAAAGTAATCAACTCAAGGCTTGGTAAAATAGGTTTAAGGTTCTTTAAGAGTCTTTTTTACATTTATTTAATTCTACTTTTCTTGAGTTAAAATATTTTATTTGGTAGATGCTAAATTTGGTGACTATGCCTCACATATGAAGGTACTAGTGAGGTCAAATGATCTAGGTTAAATATTTTGTTGCATAACTATGAACTATTTCACACGAAACTTAATAAGACAGTTTATGATATGTACAATAGATTCACTCAGATAGTGACATCCCTGCATGTTCTATGTCGAGAACTATCCAATTATGAAAACATTAACAAAATCCTATGTTATCTACCTAGTGTGTATAATGCAAAAGTTATTGCAATATATGAATCTAAAGCTCCAAATGTGTATTCCATTAATTACTTAACTGGCTCATTCATTGCTTATGAGCAAGTCGTGAGTCAAAGTTACTTGATGCAGGTGACAGGAGAGGAGAAAGTTATGGATTTAAAAGCCAATGACTTGGACACTAATTGCTCTATAGCTGAGGAGGGTGATGACATTACACTGCTAACTCGATAGTTCAAAAGCTTTCTGAAAAGAAAGCAGAAGCGCCATCAATAATGAGTAAAGGTAAAAGTAGTAAAAAAATTTAAAGCTTCATTTGTTACAATCTGTTTTGAATACATGAAGCCAGGGCATGTGAGATCTGATTGTCCTAACCTAAAAAACTCACCATAGTAAGGAGAAGGGTGATGGAAAGGCAAAATTTAGGAAACAAAAGAATATGACACATAAGGCTTTTTAGGCTGACATTGCCTCAAAATCATAAAAATAGGAAGCAGAGGAGGAGGCAACTAATCTATCTCATGGCTAATTATAATCTTGATCAGTCTAATCAAGATGAGGTATGTTATCTATCCTATGATGAATTTTATTATTATTTTTTAAAAAATCATGATTCATATAAGAAGTTAAATTAAATGTATACGACTTTAAACTCTAATTTTTCTACTTTACAAAAGGAGCATAATTCAAAGGATTGAACATTCTACATTTGATAAAGAGCTCATGTCTTTACTCAATGAGTTTGATGCATTTAATAAGAAGCATGTTGACTTAACTAATGCATATGGTTCCTTAAAGTTTGACCATATTGAGTTAAACAATGCAATAAATAGATTAAGTATAGTTATAGATAATTTAGAAACCAATAGGAATGACATTTTATTAGAATTGGCATTTGAGAAAAGTATAATTAATGCTTTAAAGATAAGGTTAAAAGGATTGCAATAAGACACTTATAGGCCTATGCACACATAGCCACAACTTTGGACACAACATGCATTAAATATCCCTAGGAAGAGGCATAACCCCCAATATATACTAGTTTGATCCTTGGGATTAGGTGTCATTCTTATGGCATGCTAGTTCACATAGCCCACACTTGCATAATACAATGTAGGACACATTTAGTGTGAAGGTATAAATCACTTGAGCCATAACATAACATCTATGCAAGTCATTCATCTATGCATAAGGTAGAATCTAAACTCACTTGGGTTCTCAAATCTATCCTGTGAATGACATTAGAGGAGTGCTCTCATAAAAAACCTACTGAGAGCATGTGGTACGTGGGAAGTAGATGCTTACGATACATGATCAAAGATATGAAGTGATTCATTTCGTTGGAGGCCGAGGCAAGAGGAAAATTTACACTTGGAGATGATAGCAGTAGGGAAGTGGTAGGCTAAGGTATGATTGAAAATTTTAAGAATTTTATTATTGAAAATATTTAACTAGTGGATGGTCTAAAACATAACTTGCTTAGTATCAGTTAATTGTGTGATAAAGAATTTGATATTAAATTTTTATCTACTATATGTTTAATGAATTTAAATGGATATATTGTTTTATAAGGTAAAAGAATTAATAATGTTAACATGCTTGACTTGAATTGTGTTGAATATACCAATTCTTTATGTTTGAAAGCTATTATTCATGAATCTTGGCTATGGCGTAGGATACTGTGCTATGCAAGCATGAAAACACTTAGAAAGATAACCCAAAAGGATCTAGTTAAAGACATATCCAATTTAGAATTCTATAAGAACCACCTTTGTGATGCCTGTCAACTAGAAAAATATTTATTTCATTCAATCAAAAACATCACCACCTGTAGACCTTTATAAATCCTTCACTTGAACTTGTTTGATCTGGTTAGTACTACTAGCTTAGGTGGAAAAACATATGAATATGTGATTGTTGATGATTATTCTAGATTTATCTAGGTTAAGTTTTTATCATGTAAGAATGAATCATTTAAGAAATTTAGGGCATTCTCCACATGGATTTAGAAGAAATTAGATTACGAAATTTCAACTATCCATATTGATCATGGTGAGAAATTTAAAAATGATAGATTTGAATCATTCTATAAGGAGCTAGAAATAGAACATATATTTTTTAGCTCCTAGAACTCCTCAGCAGAATAGGGTTGCTAAAATAAGAATAGAACTCTGACAGAAGCTACTAGAGCCATGCTAGTTGATTATTCACTTCCTAGATATTTTTGGGTTGATGTAGTGAATAATGCTTGCTATATTCTTAATAGGGTTAATTTCAGATCCAAACTCAATAATACACACTTTGAATTACTCAAAGATAAGACATCCAATCTCTCTCCCCTTCATGTTTTTTGCAATATGATGTTCATTCTGATAAATGGAAAATATCCCTTAGAAAAATTTGACCCTAAATATGATGGAGTTTTCCTTGGATATTCATATGTTAAGTAAAGTCTATTAAGTTTTTAGTAGGAGAACCATAGTAGTAAGGGAGACCATCGATTTAGTATTTGATGAATCTAATATATCTATTAAGCCTAGGTAAGAAGAAGAAGAAGAACTGGTATAAATAACCCAAGTAATAGAGTTTATTGTACTATAAAATAAAGGAGCCTCAGGGCCCTTTTCCTAGAGATTAGAGATATTCATCTAGTCATCCTAAGGTTATTATCTTAGGAGATCCATTTGTAGGAGCGTTGACGAATATTTTCGCATCGACTCGACCCCGATCGAGCCCAACAAAGCTCGATCACGCTCGATCAATTCAACTGATCATCATCGAGGAAAAATTACTTTAAATTGAGCCTTAATTTAATTAAATTAAATCAATTTTAATTTAATTAAAATCAAATCAATTTAAAACAAATCCCGTCGAGCGTCGTCGAGCTAAATTCGATGCATTTCGACACAATTCGGCGTTTATTCAAGGTTAATTTCGTAAAATTAATTTGATCGGACCCGCTCGGACCCAAATCGACCCAAATCGGTTTGAGTCGAGTTCAATTTGGGCTCAATTTCAACCCTAATTGATTGATTTAGGCTAAATAAAATAGTCAAATCTGAAATTGAAATCAACGGCTAAGATTTGCTTGATTTTCAAATTTTGCGGCCGTTAGTTACTCATCAAACTCGATTCCCGCGGGTGGCTATAGCAGAGAGATTGCGGAGTTCTCTTATCTCCTGCGGCAAAAGTCTCATTCTGCGGCGAATGCTCCAGTAGGGATGGGCGTCTCCGTCCCATAAGCAGCGGAAGATCAAAAGGAGAGCGGCATTAGGCTCCCTGTTGTTTTCCTTTCGTGCCCATCCTGACCCAGAGAGCAGAGACGAGAGGAAGAGTCCCGTCGAAGCCCTGTTCGGCGCCGAAACCCCTGTTCGCGCTCCCTCTCGCATGCGGAGCTCTCGTCCGACCCCGACGAGGCCTTCGACCGAACCTCCAGAGGGCATTTGGCTCTCCTGTTTCTCTTCATGCAGCCCGTCCCGACCTAGC